AAATTAAGACGCTTTCTTAATACCAGAAGCTATTTTTTGTTTGTGCTCTTTCTTTGTGACTTTGCCCCCCCAACCATACAGCTACACGTCATTACGCATGTCTTGACTACTTTTATATATGGATCTTTTTATCCGTCATGATTTTGGGTGAAATCCCTAAAGCTTATGTTTTTTAAATTCATTTGATTGAAATGTCATCTTTTAAGCTTAGAGGGTCAAATAGGCGAGTTGTATTTAATCTAAACAATTTGAATTAATTAGCTGGTGGGTCATATTTTGCCATATTTTTAGGTCAAGATGAGCTGATAAATTTTTGCTAATGGGTCATAACCCAAACCAAACTCATAATATATTTTCATTTGTTTGTTTGTTCTTTTAAAATTTGTTTAACTACTAATTCGAAATAACGAAAATATTTTTTTTAAAAAAATTATTAGGACTATATTTGACAAACTAAACTTGAAAGATTTATTTTTCAAATATGTTCTGATAGTCTTTTTTACGAGCTAACTTGAGTTATGCCTAAATTGATCTGCCAATAAATATATGTTCAACTCAGTTTTGTCAAAACTTTATCTGATCAAGCGAATTATATCTGTATGAGCTAAATTTGATACACTTCTTTGAGAATTTGGGGGACCTTATAGCTCTAACAACATTTATTATATGGGAACAAATGGATATACAATTAGTATAAATGTGTTGTGTGTGTTGTGAACAATTGAGATGAAAGGAAAGAGAAAGTGGGAAGATAGTCCTATAATTATGCCTAATATAAATGAACCCTTAATTATATCCCTAATTTGAATTATGGTATAGAAATGGTAATTTGGTATGCTTAAATGTAATAAACACAAACCTTAAACATTGAGGGTAATAAGATTTGATACATGATATAGATAGGTAAAAATCCCTTATTGTAAATAGCACGTGAGTAGTTATAGAATAACCAATAGAATAGGAGACAAGTGTATACGTGGTTATTCCTTAGATTCCTTTTGTTAGTAAATAAATAGTACATAGTACAATAGATGATTCATTCAATAGAAAATACACAATATTTTCTAAAAGTCAGATTTCTTCATCCTTCACTAAAAGAGTAAAAGACTAAGTCGAGTCATATATAATATGCATATTATATATGTAAACGAAAAATCAGACATATATATTAATACAATACAAACATAAACCTTGCTTGTGACAATGGAATAACATCTAAAATACTCTATTCGTTTCAATTTATGTAATTCAATCTTTATTTTTTCCGGATCATATTGGTTGGGTAGGGTATGGTCCACATAACTATCATGAAATATAAGAAGGAATCCACTTTCTGAAAAATGACTTAGCTTTTGATTTGTAAAGGGCTTCAGGCAAATGTTTTTGCAAAAGTAGCTACAGAAAATGTATGAAAATAGGCAAAACATGAGCATTCTGGACTATATAAAAAAGCTATACTTACATTGGTCTTTATGTTAGCTTATCAAAAAGCAAACCGAATACAGAAACGAAAGAAAACGAAAAAGAAAAAGAAACAGAGAATGTACGATGATAATAAAACACGTACTAATACTTTGTCAGCTTTTACGTCTATCATTGGGTAAAAGCCTTTGAAAGTTACCATTTACTATAGTTGGATGCATTTCGACTTTGGACATAAATTTAGTTGCAATATGAAAATATATTTTTGTATTGTGTTTGAAAAATAATTTTTGAAAGTTGAAGTTGTATTTGGACCATTTTACTTAGAATTGAAATTTTGTGAGTGAAAGAAAAATTTCGTCGAAAACTGGCCCAAACGAGTTTTTGGAACTTGAAATTTCCCTTTAAATTTTCTTTTTAAAATTGATCAAATTCCATACACAAATATTTTTTTTAATTTTTCTTTTTTAACAACATAAAAAAAATTGTGCCCAAACGGGTGCTTAGAATCTTGAGTTCTTTACTTTAATCGCTTTAGCAATCATCGCTAAAAAAACTATTGCTAAATTCATCACTTTAGCAATAGTTAGCTGAATGCAGCTTTCTGATATACAACTGGCTGCACAGTAGAGATAAGATGCATGTGAAGAACTTTTGTACTGAATTTAGGGCTCATTTGGTACGAGGGATTGGGGATGATTAATTTTGGAATTAAATTTGAGATGAATTTATCTCATTTTTTGTTGGGATAAATTTACAGTATAACTAATCCCGGTATTATTATATTTTTTTATTTTTATAAAAAAATTGAATAACTAATCCCGAAATAATTAATCCTAAAACAACTTGTTTCCAACCAAACGACTCCTTAAGTGCTAGCTCCTTATTTATTGCTAGTCAAAATCACTGAGATGAGATAAGCCATCAAATATTGGTTGAACTAAAGATGGTTTCATCTTGACACTATTAGGACTATATTAGAACTAGCAAATCATAGTGAAGCTTCAATAGGTAAGTCATACCCTTAAACCAACTATAGATACAATGTCATTAGTAAAAAAGGAGGGTGAGACTAAGACATTCAGGTCTTATCTAATGATCAATAAAGTTGGTGAAAATCATATGAGATCGCAGTTCGAATCGAAGCAGAGACAAAATTTTCAGGTAATTCTTCTTATAATCTGCATTATTTGACACATGTAATGATAAGAGATAGCAGATATCTAATGACTAAAATAGTCGAAGTACACGTAAATTACCTGAACATTGGTGTTACCAAAAGAAATAAAAAGGAGGTGAGACTAAGATAGTTTCACATGTATATGTAACAAAAAGGTTTGTTGAGATGCCGATGCAAAATATCACCTTATATCACCTTAAAAGCACAAGATCATTTTCCTTCATTGCTGATGACTTGAAAATTACATACACATTTTGAATATGAAAATTACTATTCATGGAATACCTTTTCATGTGTTTTATGTTGAAGTAGTTATTTTGCTGCCCAAATTCAGTTTTATTGGCTTAACGAAATTCGTCCATTTAGTCCATCCAGATTATCGATATTTGGGTAGTCCGGTGTACAAGGTATCCCGTATTTATACAGGATTCGAGGAAATGTCGCACCCAGAGGCGAAGTCACCTTTTGCTAAGTTATACTGTGTATATAATTAAAATATTATATTTTAGATATATATAAAACATATTGAACATCCTTTGTAAGGATTTTTTTTACTTATTTCAAGTCGGAACACCCTTGGGGAATTTTCTGGCTTCGCTACTGATCGAACCCATATGTTAAGTTACATTCTGTATATAAGTAAAATATTATATTCCGACTTCTTTCAAATCTTGATTTGATGTAGAGAGCTTAACCTAATGCAAGCATTAGTGACTGCTTCCACGACTCGAACCCATAATTATACGTCATATGAAGATAATTTTATTGTTGCTCCAACGTTGCCCTTCTGGGCAAACGAATTTAGTCCATCTAGATTATCGATATCGAAAGAAGAAAAGGTATTAGAACTACTTTAAAAATTAAAGAAATACATGAAAGGCATACAGTATACTTTTAGATATAGAAAAATAATAGAAGCTTATCTTCTAGAATATACAAGTGTTCAGCATAAAAAAAAAATACTAAACTTTTAAGATTAGCTGTAAAATAATAAATAAACAAGAAAAAAACACATAATGGCTGGCTTACTAAAATAGTAGTACTACTCATTTAACGTATTCTTAAAGATGTATATTTCCTTCACTTTAATCATGTCTTTAATTATCTTTTTACTATTTATTATGTGAAGTATATGATTATATATCACCTTTTCCTGTCTTAATACTTTATTAAACCATTATTACTTAATTATAAAGGAATTTTGTCGGGCAGCTGTGTTATGATTTTTCCAGACGTTTAACAATTTTTCTTTTCCTTTTTTTCTATTACCTCAATATCGTGTCAATAATTCTTCTTTTTGGCTTTTTATTTTAAAGAATATTTTGATGTTTTAACTTTCTTACACATACATTTTGAGATTCTAACAACTGAGATGAGTAGTGACATTCGTGAATCTTGGATTTTTGCAAGCCTTTTTTGTCCTTAAAAATTCTATTAATTCTGATCTTACCATAACTTATACTATATACTTAAAAAAAGTCAAATTGTATTTAATAAATTAAAGAAAAAGGTACTATTGCTGATGTATAAAATTAAATTTTGTAATAAATAATTTTAAACTTTGACGAACAAATGACTGCTAGAGGACAACCTATCCACAATCATAGTAGGTATCCACTTGCGAGGCAAATCATAAAATAGATTATTATTATTATTCCATATCTTTTTACTCGCAATTTTTTTTTAATTTTAATATTTATAATAATATGAGCCGAACTAAATAAAAAGAATGTAATCATCATTGCTGTTCCCACACATTAAAATTTTTGATTGATATAAAGAGAGGTTGGTCTGCACCATTCTTTTGTGTACAATCCTTTTTTTCTTTCCTTTTTTTTTTTTTGCATATTATATCCTACATCCAATAAGGCCTTAAAATACATTATTACAACCCCACTTTCAAAGATCTACACTTGCCTTTCCACCCTTCTCTGATTTTCTTATTATTTTTTTTTTATAAATATATAATTCTATTCCTATACTAAAAATAAACAAGTAACATAATTTAGTCCAAATACATCAATAGAAAAAATATTGAAAAAAGGGCAAAATAGTCCTTCATGTTCTCCCCTCCTTGTAATGATTAATGACACTCTTTTTTCCTTTGTTGTGCCTTAATCATCGGAATGGTCATTTTCCTTTTTTACCCTTGGTTGAATTCCATAGTAACTCACATACCACTTAACGAATTTCCTCAACCCAATAGACAAATCAGTGGTAGGCTTATAACCAAAATCCCTTAACGCAAGGCTCACGTTAGCATGAGTAAACGGAACGTCACCGTTTCGTGGCATTTTAACAACATTCTTTTTAGCCTTAATATTCAACAAATTTTCAAGAATAACCACTAATTTCCTCACCGACACAGGCGAAGTATTACCCAAATTATAAACCCTCAACTGCGCCGGACCTTTCTTCTTTCCGCCGCTGCCGGTGCTCTTCTCCGCCGTATCCAACGCCCCAACACACCCTTTTACTATATCATCAATGTACGTGAAATCACGCGCCACCTCTTTATCATCTTGTGTTACGTAAACATTAATTGATTTACCTTGTATCATATCCTTAGTAAAGAAAAAATACGCCATATCGGGTCTACCCCATGGACCGTAAACAGTAAAAAATCTTAACCCGGTTAAAGAAAGACCGTAAATATGGTTATACGTATGAGCAATTTCTTCACCTGCTTTTTTTGTTGCTGCATATAAACTTGCGGGTTGATCCGTTCTGTGCTCTTCTGAAAAGGGTACTTTGGTATTTAACCCGTAAACCGAACTGGACGATGCCCAGACGATTGCGGGTTGAGGGTTAGCTGACTTGGCGATTTCTAATAAATTAACAAATCCAGCTATATTTGAGTTGACATAAGAGAGAGGATTTTGCATCGCGTAACGAACGCCAGCTTGTGCAGCTAAATGGAGGACATGTGTAAATGGAACAATGTCGAAGAGTTTACGAAGAAGTTCGACGTCGTTTAGGTCACCCTCGACGATGAATATTTGGTGTTTGGATAAGAGATTTTGGCGAGCCCGTTTTAAAGAAGGATCATAGTAGGAATTGAAGTTGTCAAGGCCAAGAACACCGTCGCCACGTTTCTTTAATGCTAAAGAAGAGTGGGACCCAACGAAGCCAGCAGCACCGGTGACGAGGACGGAGAAGCCGTTAGGGCGGCTAGGAGTGGAGGAGCGGCGGACTTGTTTCTCCCACGATGCTCCGCCTCCGTAGAAGGCGGAGGAGATGAGGTTGTGGGTGGTAGTATGGATGTTGTTGTGTGAATTAGGGTTATCTGAAGCTAACGGAGGGTAATTTATAGTGAAAAAGAAAATAAGTAGTAGCGCCACTAATAAAGTGACACGAAATAGAAGTTTGGACGATGCAGCTATGAGTTTTGTACTATTGACTTTGCGAATATAGCTATTGTACCGCTCTAGCTTTGTGGTTTTGCTAGTGTCAGGTGGCGACGCCATTGGTTGATACTTGATAATTTCACACTAAGCTTTTGATATATGCAGTTCGATATCAATTCAAGAAATAATCTACTGAATCTGAAGTTGATTAAAATTCAATGCGACTAGTTATTGTGTCATATTGTGAAATAAGGGAAGAGAGAATTTGGAGTTTTGTTTTTTTGGGAAATGAAAGAATGGAGAGTGCTTAGATTTAGCAAGCCCCTAGGGAAGAAGAGATGATTATAAAGGAAGAAAGAAGAAGGATTGATGTGTGTGTGTGTGAAAGAGAGGGAGAAATAAGAGTGGTGGACCAAAGAGAGGGAGAGAGCTTTTGAGTTGTAGTTGGTTGGAGACCACTTTGTTTTTCTAGTATTCTCTACTCTTCTTCTTTTTTTTTTTTTTAAAAAAAATAAAAATAAAAGTATATGAATTGGTTTATGGAGGAGTTAATTTTATCCATGGTCATTGAACTTTTGTGTTTGTTATCCAAAAGTCACTTTTTTTTTGTTACGTAAAAATCATTCAACTTTGTGTTCATTACACAAAGTCACTTTTCTTTCTTATGTTACAAAAAAATTATTTTACTTTGTTCTAGTTATCACAAAAGTCACATTTTTACTTGAAAAGTCTATTATGCCCTTGATATTATATAAACCTTCATATTTATGTAATACTTTCTATATTATATACTATATAATATATTTTTAACTATGTATTTTATTTATAAATTAAATAAATTAATATTATTATTAAAATTATTTTAGTATTCTCAATTTCAATGCTTCATGCAGTCCGTTTAGCATTACTTTTTTTTTTGTATTGAATATTATAGAGTGGTAAAATATTACCAATATGGAGGATTCTCATGAAATTGATTTTATTAAACCTTCCTACATATTTTTAATAAGAATTCAATAGACAAGATTGTTTAATTTTAAAATCTTAAATATTAAAAAAAAACTAACATAGAAGTTATTGTAGTCCAAAAAAATATGTTATTACAACTATGTCTTTTCCCTATGCGTTCTTCTGTTTAATATTTTAGAATTATTTTGGTCTATCAATATTATATTCGTGCTTTTATAATAATACATATTCTCCTGTTTCTAAATGTATTTGGACAATATAATACGTTTTAAAATTAAATTAGTAATAGTAATTTTTTAAGAAGTATTTCCTAAAAGTAATAGGATTATCCCAAAAGTAATTATATTAATAGAAAATCTAACATGCTCCTAAAAGTATTAGGTTTATATGCTAACATGTAGTATTATATATCTATGCCCGAAAATAATTATACTAATAGGATTCTTAAAGGTAATAATGTAGGATTCTTAACGAGTAGTATGATGTCCTAAAACTAATAGGATTATAAGGCTAATGTCTAGAATTTCAATTATGTCCTTTTACTATGAGTTATTATGTTTAATATTATAAGGTTATTTTTGTAATCCAATATTTTATTCATGCTTTTATAATAGTATAGAAAATATATTCGTATATTTAATTTTTTTTAACGTTAATTTTAAAATATATTAGTAGCGTTATTAAATTTGTCAGTAACTTTAATATATATTAGTAGAGAAAAATCGACAAGTATATTTTCGTGAGAAAATTCGCAGATAAACCGAAAAAGAAAATGAGAAAAAAATCATATGTTAATTTGAAGGAAAATTCCTAGGTAACTCTACCTGCGAATTTAGCTGGGGATATTTTTTTGGGGATTTACTTGGGCAATTGGTTATTTGGGAAATTATACTACTAGAAATGTGGAAAAAACCGTCAAAAAAATCGACCAAAGTTGGTATGTAATGGCCAATAACCGTCTAAAACGCGACCATTAACGTGTGGACGGTATTTTGAAGGCCGAAAGGGCATACCGACCAAAGTTGGTCGGAAATTACCGACCAGATTTGGTGGGTCAATTAAATTAAAAAAAAATCTGTTTTTATAACGCTGCTAATATATCTTGAAAATTAAAATTAGAAAAAAATAAATATACGAATATATTATAAAAATAATAAATAAAATAATATTAATTTAATTTATAAATAAAATACATAGATAAAAATATATTATATAATATAGAAGGTATTACATAAATATGAAGGTTTATATAATATCAATGACATAATAGACTTTTCAAGTAAAAATGTGACTTTTGTGTTAACTAGAGCAAAGTAAAATGATTTTTGTGTAACAAAAGGAAGAAAAGTGACTTTTGTGTAATGAACACAAAGTTGAATGATTTTTATGTGACAAAAAAAGAAAAGTAACTTTTGGGTAACAAAAACAAAAGTTTAATGACCATGGATAAAATTATCTCGTTTATGAAGTTTGGTTTTAGATTAATTATACATTTTAATTGATTTGTGTTTTAGAGAATAAGACTAATTAAACTATACGTTAGAAATTTCATCTATGATGAAAGATCTATAAAGCATATTTTCAAGTAAATTTTGAAATGTTAAACGAGTAAGAAGTATTTTTTTTTAAAAAAAAAAAAAATTAATTGATGTTTGGTCGTACAATTGATACTCTTTTTAAGAAAATTTAATAAATCTGATAAATATATTTGCAAGTGGTCGGTCACATTAATTTGGTATAATGAAATAGGACAATCAAAATTATGGAGTCTAATAAACAAGGAAACTTAAGGTGTTTGTGGTTAAGAAAAGACTTTATTTGACTCTCAAAAGTGAATAATTAGGGCATACTCAAGCAATAATAATAACTTGACACTCAAAATATTATATATATTTATAAAAGATATTAAATGAATGGGTAACAGTTGCTTTCTAGTTAAGGAGCTAATAAATTAATAATAAATATTATGGTAAAATGATAAGTATTTTTTCATTTTTAACCAGAGGTTCGAGTCTTGGTTATAAAGTCGTCTTTGATTACGGAACTCTTTACCCCCTAAAATGGGACTTTCCGGTGCAAATACGAATTCAGTCGGGCCTCAATGAGATACCGAGCATTGAAAAAAAAAGAATAAGCTAATAAATTGGTCCTCAATTTTTTAAAATTTAAGGATTGGTCCTTGTATTTATGTAAGGGGTGAAATGCCAGCTAAAATTTGAGTCAGATGTGTTGAAGAATCTCAAAACCATGTGAGACACACATGGGGAAATTTATGAGAAATGAGAACACTGATCCTTGACTTACTCTTATTCAACATTAAACAATTGAAATATATTCTTTTTGTATTTCACTTAGTATAGTAATTTTAAGAAATTAAAATAGCTTTATTATATTGGTTAAAACAGAATAGTGTACGGTTATTGTAGTATTTAATGAAAGTTACTTATTCTAGAAAAACATACAGATTTAGTAATTAAAGGGAAGTAATTTGTTAAAGATTAGACAAAATTCTCAAAGTAGAGGGGAAATAATTCCAAAATTGAGCAAATTTTCATAACTAACACAACATAAAACTAGCATAATTAAGCAAGTAAGATTTATTAAAAATATGAAGCTAACTAACTTATCAAATTTTAGTTACATAATTAATGAAGCAAAATACTCCCTCCTGTCTTTTAATTGATTTTTTGGCCTTATTGTGTAGTCCACAATAGTTGAATTTTCAGATAATCAAGAAGGAATTAACTTATTTTTTTTCAAAATTATCCTTGGAGTAAAGAGACTAAGAGTATTTGTTGTATTTTTTATGAACAAATTAAGATTAATTTGGTCAATTTCATTGTTAATAATGCTAAAAACTGGATTCCTTAATATGTGTGAAAATAACCAAAAAATCAATTAAAATGAATCGGATGAATAATGCTTAAAATAGATAAGTAGTTTCACTTAGGTAGCTTTAACTTAATGCTCTGTCTTCCATAATTATAGCCCGTTTGGCCAACCTGCAAAAATCAGCTTATTTTGAGAAGTATTTTTTTTCAAAAGTGCTTTTTTCAAAAGTACTTTTGGTGAGAAGTAGTTTGTGTTTGGTTAATTAGTTTGAAAAACACTTTTTAGCAGCAATTAGTGTTTGACCAAGCTTTAAAAAACTGCTTTTAACTTCTAAGTATATTTTTCTCAAAAGTGCTTCTCAAAAAATTGCTTTGGGAGAGAAACTATTTTTTTCTGTTTCTCCAAAACTGCTTCTGCTTCTCCTCAAAAATACTTTTTTTTCATTCCAAAAACTTGACCAAACACCTCAATTTTTGGCCAAAAGTAATTTTGGCAAAAAAAAAGATACTTTTGACCAAAAAGAAGCTTGACCAAACATGCTATTAGTAAAATAGTAACTTCACACAAAGAATCTGAAAAGTCATTATCTTCTTTTAATTAATTAATTCAATTATTATCATTCTTCTATTGCTTTCTTTTTCCATATTTTATTTTTTAAATTAGAAACAAAGTGCATGACCGTTTGTCACCGACAAAATAATTTACAATTGAGAGCTGAGAGAATTAATTTTAATAATTAAACTATTATTTTATTAATGGTTAGATCTTGGGTTTAGTTCAGTCAAGATAAAAGGTTCTTTTTGTCACTAAGGTTAATTTGTTCTGTTTTTATTTTTCATTTCATTTAATAATTTTGCTGTGTAGCCGTTATTCGGTGAATATAAAACTAACCTCCATCTACTTTTTGAATCAGTGTTCTTAATTACGAAGCTTCTCTGCTATTCTTTATCTGTGTCCAATCCCAACTCCCAATACTTAAACCCCCCACCCCCAAAAAGAAATACATAAATTCTTTTTTAAAAATAACAGGAAAAAACATTATAAAAGAGAAGGCAGAAAATCAGAAAAGATCAGAAGACAGAATAAAATGAGTTGATTTATATGTGTGTATTTGTTGGTTTCCCACCCGTCTTGTATCTGTACTAGGGCTCGACTAAATCTGGTCCGTGCCAGAGAAGTCTCACATTAGAGGATAAAATGTTCTCTAACAAAGGTAATTTCATACCCACGATTCGAGCTCGAGACCTCTAGTTAATTAAGGAGTACTTACCACTCTACCACAATCTTATTAGTAAACTATATTTGTAAAACAATTATGGAAAATATAAATGAACATAAACAGAAATGAAAAACAGAAACAGAATTTTAATCCGAGCCCACTGAATTCACAGTGTTTCCTTAAGGAATTTAATCCCCTCCTAATACCCAAGGTTATGGATTATTTCCTCCCATGATAGAACGAATTACACACTGGAGTAGTGGTACTTCAAACCCCAGTGTTTCAGCGAACACGAAGTTCGGTAGCAAATCACACTTACTATTGCTTTCTTTGAAGTTAAAATATGCATAAGGAAGGAGAAGAACTCAGAAAATTCATATGGA